CTGTTGTAAGTTTCTCATATTCTCCATCCAAGTTAGCCATCTGTGTTTCTAGATCGTTTGTGATATCTTCGTATGTTGGAGAAATAATGTTTTGCAATTCCTCTGTATCTTTTGCGATATCATTTTTCTTTGAGTTGTATATTTCCGAGAGTTCTAAAAAATGATGCTCTTTATGTTTATTTGAGGTAAAACATGAAAAGCAAACAGGAATGTCACATTCCCTACATTTTGCTTCACAAGTTTTGGTAAGATGTGTTGCACACTTTGGATAAACCAAGGTTGATTTTCTTTGTTGGAAAGGAACAATTTTATGTTTGTCATATTCATCAGAAATGTGTTCTCCAATACAGGGTTTACAAAGGTTGACATGACAGAAATCACAGTACATCTGTACTATAGCTGTCTCACAAAGGTCACATCTGATCACATCCTGGGCACTGTGGTGGGGATCCATAGTTTGTGTAGAAGTCCTACAAATCAAGAATTGTTTTGAAATTTAAATTAGCCTGGGCAGCATTTAATCAATTATTTTTAGACTGCTTAATGAACATAATACTTCCTGATCACCCTTGTATAACAAAAGGGATTGCATATTTTAACATAAAATAAACATATGACATGTATTAATAATATTATGTTACTTTAAAAAATACAATTAGTTGTTGATGGAATCTACTTTTGATATCTTATATCTACAGAATGAACTAATTTGATTTTTAAAATTGAATTTGAAAAGCTTTGAAAAAATATCATGAAATAAATAATAAACACAAACTGAAAGTAGAATAGCAACAAATAGTTTCTATAATGAATTTCCAGATATCTGACTACCATGGTAGCCACTGGGAAACTTGACTTACATTGGTGGAAAGTCATTCGTCAGTTCTCTTTTTCATTTTTGTCTCGGCTCTCTTCTTTGGTCTCCATATTATTCAGGTCAGGGTGTGTTGCCGTTCTGAAAATTAGAGTTATCGCTCTTACAACGTTATACACACTTGGAGACCCCCCCCCCCCCCCTTTTAACTTCCTTTTTACAAATGCCTACGATTTACTTAGCTCGAGTCTGAAGATCGTCAGACTCACATTGCTCTCTTCTCTATATACATTTATTAATCTCTGGACATAAACAAAAATTGTTTATGTATCATGATTCTTCTAGCTGATTATTTGACTGAGATGGCATGCAAGAACCAACTGTTATGGCCTACAATAAGAAATGATTTATGCCAATTAGGAAATTGTTTGATGTACTCCGACCGACCCATCGAAATTGCTCCTACCCAATCATTTTTTTTTTCCAGCACTTTGAATTTTTTTATTAGTTTCTATAGTATATACAAAGATTTTTTCTAGAATGCTTTTTGATTTAAAATTTTATAGCAAGCTATCCGTGTGTAATGAAAATATATATATATCAATTTCCGAGTCTGTGATTTTAATGACAGTTATCATTTTGTCCAACAGTGTAAAGCCAAAAAAAAAAAAAGAATGATAATAAAAATAAATAAATATCTACCTACCTACCCACTTTGAAAATTGTGGGTCGGAAATCATCAAACAGAAATATTTTAATGATGGTACTACCATATTTCAATTCCAAAACTTCATAATCTTGAATCCTTACAAACAAAGATGCATAGCTAGTTCCAGTAAATGTTCAACTAAGCCTCTTTCTTTACTCCTCACTAAGATATTTTAAAATACTTAACAGAAGTGAAGAAGAAATGATACAGGCAGTTCTGGCTTGGTGCATGTATAACTGTAAAGTTCTGATACAGTGTATATATACCCGGTATGACCTTTACCTAGAGCTGCACACGTTACCATATTTCGCCTCTCCCAAATATGTCACATTTACTGGCTTGGAAAAGGGGATTTTTCCTCCATGGCTTTGTGTGGAGATAATGTTCTGAATTCCAATATTGGCAATAACAGGATACATGGGTGGAGCTGAAGCCTCGATCATGAACTTCCATGTCTGCAACTGCATGCCTCATAATAACCTCCACCAAATTTACTTCATATTACTTTAGATCACTAAATTTTCGCGATATCTTATTTTTGCGAGAAAGTCATTGTCTCTTTATTAGCGAAACATTATTTTTACGATTTTTTTCATTCCTCTATATAATCGTAAGGAATATTTTGACTTTATAGTACGTGAGAATGAAATTTTAGTAAGCTCATTAGTCTCGGGTAACCGTTATTATGCGAAAATAAAGTTAGAACCCGTGAATAAAAAGTTATTTACAGTATATGAATTTGGTGTGAGTAGCTAGGATCAGTATAGTGCAAGTATTATGGTTGTGACTTCTCAGGAGGAATATTAATCATCTCCACCAAACATTACCGGACTGTTGAGATTTAAAGCTTTTACCAAGGCATACATGTAATTATACTAGTAAACATTCATGTCCTGCACAAGTCCCAAGATGACTTTATCTTTGAAGCTGCTCTAAAGAGGTTCCTCTGTCTCATAAAAAATATTCTGCAAGTTCTTCAATGTAAGCTCTTCAGTTTTCAATAGCCAAATTTCTGAGATATACATGACTATCCTGATGACCATAGAGTGAGAAACAACTCCTGTGTAGAAACTAATAGCTCTAAACAATTTTCCATTCCCTACATTGGAATACGATGGATTCCAAAGAGCTAAATCCACGAAGTGCAAAAATCGGTCCAGTCATCAAATTAAATAAGGATAATATCTCTGTAAATAATTTTCTTCTTCCTCTCACTTTGATTTTCCTAAAATATTAGGCCGATTTAAGCCCCTCGTTGATTTAGCTCTTCAGAAAGAAACCCATCCTGATGCTGAACCTCAGCTCCGTGTCGATCATGTAGACTAAGTGTGCATTAATTAATATGTCATTAAAATTGAAGCCATATAAGATTGTAAGTGTTCAACATAAATGAAACAAAAGCTATTGTAATTTTGTATTCACAACAAAAAGTCTGTGAGCCAATGCTCATTTGTAAACGTTATACCCCACTCTGACGTGAAAATACTGATACTGACAGACGCATGGATAAACAGGAAGTTGACATCAAAGAACAAGATAGGGCAAGGGTCATATTCAGCCCCCTCTGCAAAGATGTTCATATCAGTCCGAGAGATAGTATTGACTGTAACACTCAAGAAATGTAAGTTTTCCTTGGTAACTATACAATAAAGTTGCTTAGCAACACAGCAAACATGGCAACAACATCTCTTAAGAATCACTGCAATATTCATTTGAATGATATTAATTTATGATCAGTCAAAATCTGCATATTTTATTAACTAAATCTTTGTTAAGAGGAAATATCCCTCTCCTCCAAATTTCACCAATTTTTTTTTTTTTTTAATTCCGAACATTCCATCAGCATGTTCTCTACTAATGTAACATAATACTTAGCGTTCTACCACGATTATTGCGGAGATCAAAGAAATGCCGCGGACATTATTCTCCAATAAATCACGAACGTCATCAAAAAATTATCAGATCAGAAACACGTATCAGACCTGAACAATATTCAAATGTATGTTTGGCTGTAGAATGAAATACTTGTTTAAACCACATCGATGTGTCGTCTTTTGCAGTATAAACACTGTAAATTGCATCAAGTTGCTGATGAATGTCGGTTTTTATAGCTAAGCGGGGCTATTCCGCGGACCTCCCTACATATTTAAACAACGTGATTTTAGTCCCAGTAAAGCAGTAAAACAGGAACTTGATTTTGTTATTGTATATTCATAAAAATTAATCAATACATGTAACAAACAAATTTGTAATTTAAAAAAGACTATTTTTAATGCAACGAAAGTTTAAATCGTCTGCATTCTGTATGTACAGGTAAGCAAACAAATTTTCCCTCTGGTGTTAAATGGAACAGCGTAATCCAGAAATAGTGACCTAATTCGTTTCTCTATAGAGAAAACGATCAGTTGTATTTATCGACCTTGGTAGAATAGAAATAAAGTCCGCGTTTTCGTGAATGATGCAGGATAACCTCCGAGGTCGAGAAATGCAGGCACGTAGCTTCGTGAAAGTGGGGGGGGGGGCAGCCAGAGAAAATTTTTTTTACTTACCTGAAAAAGCTCACAAGCAAAAAAAAAAAAAGGAAAAAGGTTGCCCAGAGTCGAAAATCCTATTTCGTGGTGTGTGTGTGTGTGTGTGGGGGGGGGGGGGGGGTAAACTTTTTTTCAGTGTCAACAACTTTCAGTACCAATTCTAATACTACATTTTCGGTACATCACTAAAAGTGGGGGGAGGCTCCCCCCCCCCCCCCCCCCCCCCGTTGCTACGCCCCTGAAATGTTTGAAAGATAAAAGCCGAGGCGTTAGGTTGTGGCCCTGTCCTAATTTATCAATTTAAAATCTACACTACTTCAGGATGCTTCCACATAAGTTTCAGCTTTCCTGGCCCACTGGTTCCTGAGAAGAAGATTTTTAAAGATTGTTCCTATATATATTTCTACGTAAAAATTGTATTCCTTATTATGGCCCCACCCTACCCCCAGGGGTCATGATTTTAACAATTTAGAATTTACACTACTCTAGGATGCTTCCACATACGTTTCCTCTTTCCTAGCCCAATGGTTCTTGAGAAGATTTTTAAAGATTGTTCCTACTTGTATATATTTCTATGTAAAACTTGGATTCCATATTGTGGCCCCTCCCTACCCCGGGGGTCATGATTGTTATCATTTAGAATCTACACTACCCCAGGATGCTTCCACATAAGTTTCAGCTTTCCTGGCCCACTGGTTCTTGAGAAGAAGATTTTTTAATGACCCCACCCTATTTTTGTATGTTCTTGATTATCTCCCCTTGGAAGGGGACCTGGCCCTTTATTTTAATAATTTAATTCCCCTTCACCCAAGGATGCTTTGTACCAAGTTTGGTTAAAATTGGCCCAGTAGTTCTTGAGAAGAAGTTGAAAATGTGAAAAGTTAACAGACGGACAGACAGCTTAACGGACGACGGACAATGGGTGATCAGAAAAGCTCACTTGAGCTTTCAAAGCTCAGGTGAGCTAAAAATGACAAACCTATAAACAAAGATTTGCCAAAATTTCATTTATCTGCAATCAGTCATATGATTACATATATTGTGTAGTGATATCATAATCATAAGATACTTAAACAATGAAATGCTTACTTTGGTTGTTAGTACAGAAATTAATGTCGCAGATATTGCAGAAAAAATACATAACTCGCGTAAGCAGTTTATGTTAATTTTTTCTGCAATAGCAGCAACGTTATAATTCCATACTAACAACCAAAGAAAGACATTTTATAGTTTGAATTTATATATCTATATAAATAATCATTAAGGGACTCCGATCCTCAACCAGGAAGGACAACTCTTTAATTTATAATTTAATTCAAAAAGTCTCAAAATGAAGCTTGAAAATTAAATCTTTTCATGCAATAATTTTCATTATATACCTCTCAACGTGCTTCAAGGTTCTTTAAAGTTCTCAGAAAGATCTAATTAAAAGTCGAAATTTTTACCCTGTAATTAAAGCATTTTAAAATTACAAATTATGTGAAGAAATTGATGTTCATTTTAATCTAACCATAGATATGAAATTAGAAGTGATTTATGGAGCATTGCAATGACAAGAGATTAATCTTTAAACATTTTGCATTGTAAAATGATCGAAGTAAATAAAAGAAAAAGTACATTATATGTAATTATAAAAATTTTGGAATTTCTTAAAAAGCCTGGATAGTTACCTATGATTTTTAATAACTCTATTGAATTGAAAAATTAAACAGAAAGCTGAATCCCCCAATAATATTTTGCTGATATATATGTGGGTTCCAGTATAGAAAACATAGCTACTATCAAAGACCTATTACTAGTATATAATTATTAGTAGCCAGTAGGTCGAGGTCTGGTGCTACTTTATTTTCGTGCCCCCCCCCCCCCCCCCCCCCTGAATAAAAACGTCTGATGACCCATTTTAAATTGCTTCCTACCATGCCTACGGGTCTGCAGAGGGCGAGTATAGTATTGATAGTTGTATTGATAATGTTCATTATGTTGATATAGATCAAATCAAAACACAGTATAAATTTACGTGATTTAGGCTTTATATAACCGTAACGCTTCCATGTAACTGGTGACGCTCGGCTCTCCGTAAATCTCCGAATGGGCTCGTCGGAGATTTACGGAGACAGTCGAGTGTCTTCGTGAACGAGATTGACATGAAAACTCCCGAGGACTTCCGAAAAGTGGGAAATGAGTCACATAGGTAAAATGGCGACGTGAAGAATTTACAGGTAAATACAGGTATTTTCAATTGTTAACAAATGAAAAATGTTCAAGCGCAAACAGATTAGTTTAATTGAACTTTCAAAGTATGCTGCTACATATAAGTTTTACAGTTTAATTTTATGTGAAATGATGATCAAATTTTGCGTTGTTTACCTCTACATCGAAAAAATATTTGAATTCCTACTTCCGGTATTTTTAATTCTTGAAAGAGATAGTAGGAGTAGATGTATTAAACTTACATGGAGTAGAATTTGTCTGCTACGGGTATCATTATTCATAAAAGCAAGGTTTATAACTAAATCGAGCAAGGAAATGGCAATGATCAAAGTAATTTTTAATTTCACAAAGCGTGAAGGTAAACAGGTAAATGCGTCATATGCCATCTTGACTGAGGTGCAGTTAACTACACAATTTTCAAAGTGATTGTATATAATTATGTGTATATGTATATAATAATGTGCAAAACATGCAAAAATTCCTTCAAGTATGAATTTTTTGATTAAAAAAAATGCTAATAACATATCAAATAATTTCAGAGAAACATCTAGTCATGAGAGCCTTCAAGAACATCACAGTCATTTTGCTCAGCTTTTTTTGTTCATGTATAGGTAAGAGATTATAATTAATACAAATAACATTTAAAGTGTGTATCAACATGATCAACATACAACTATTCCCGGAAGAAAAACACGAAAAAATAAATTATATAGTTATTCCACTGATAACCCTAATGTAGATTTTCCGCAACTTCCATGGAATTCCAAAGCATATTCCATGGAATTCCATGGAATTTTTGTTCCGCGGAATTCTTTAGAATTCTCCGGAGTATTGGGACGGAACTTTTTTCGGAATGATTTGGAATTTTGAATCTAGCCTGGAAAAGAGCGGAACAATGGCAGAATGGAAATTTGCGGAGGAAATCCGTGGAATTCCAGGATATTTGTAAATCTACGGAAATCCATGGAATTCCAGGATTCCAAATTCCAAATACACGTACAATGAAAACTGAAATAATTAGTGCCAAATAGTTACATAAAAAAAAAACTCGATAACATCACAAAACATAGATCAAATCTATATTTTTAAAATTAAAAATTAATTGTTTCTTTTACAATGTTTTTTGAGACAAATATTGCATATAACTCTCAGATGTACAATATAAGCACACTTTCATAAAGTATTCTCACGGAAAGTATTTTACATTAAAGGTTATTTACAGAGAAAATATGATTACTGGAGAATCAGTCACCTTGGTTAAATTAATGATAATCATGTTATGATATACATGATATACATGAATTTAGTAAACTCCAGTCTGTATTTTCTAAAATAAGAAGTTAGTTTTATTAAATGAAATTGGCCATGGAATTGGGATGGTCATTGAAACCTCAACAGGGTTTACATTTACAATGAACTGCCAGTCAGGCTTATCATGTTTATGTACTGGTACAAAGTTATTGACTAGAGTGACAAACACATGTATTACATGCAAAAAATATGTACTACACAACTATATTGATACAAATTGATCCCATAAAATCAACAGATGCTATTTCCCCCCAACGTACGTGCCAAAGATCCAAATTAATGAAGATCCAAAACTTCTGACGTGTTTACTAGAGAATCACTTCCTCACTGATATTCCATGAAATAAGTAAATGGTTATGTTAGAAGGTTGACAGTTAATTGGTGTCACGAACGGATTCACTTTCAGTACGAAGGCTCAGAAAATTCGATGTTGATCATTCCAACAGACACTTCAAACTTTCGATCCTTACATGATTTCTGAAAGAAAAAGATAACCATTAAGATGCATCATTATTGATATCCATATAAATATATGACAAAAGCTATACAAAACAATTGACTTTTTTGACCTGGCAAATCAGTTTACTATGGAATATGAATTAATTCACTATCTTGCAATTTTTTGTTCAAATTAGGATTAATTCTGATAAATGTATAAATGTGAAAAGTTTATAGATGACAGACAAGTCAACATCAGGGGCGCACTGATCAAAAAACTCACTTAGGCCTTAAAATGGTTCAGGTAAGCTAAATCAAAAAGGTTTGAGCTCAAGCTCAAAGCCTGACTAAGACTGAAAAAGATAATTTCAATTCATGTGATTTTAATGATTTTGAAAATAATTCAGAATTCTTACCTTTATGTTTTTTCTTTTCATACACCTCTTGTCCTTGTGAGCATCCGGATTCCTGTAAAATGCATGTATACTTCATAGTAGATGATTGCTATTTGATCTAAAATAATTAGGCATGTCTGTGCAGTTTTCATGTTTAGATTACCTGTCAGAATGCATTGTTATAAATTATTAGAATAAGGAATTTAAGCGTGTTAAGAATATAAACCTTTTTTAATATACCAACGTGTACGAAAGGAGGAAATTCGGGTTGAAATCTGCACATTGTTCCAAGAAATTTTTATCTCACAGCGTGAAAAAATTCTAAACTCCCAATAATCCTTTGCGGTGAATAGCAACATTGTCGCTAAAATATAGCAACAACTTACTTGAAAAAATTACAAACAACGATTTAATGCAATCTACATGCCACAAAACTATTGTTTGCGTTCAGTCAGTCAACAGGACTTTTTATTTGACGTCATACTTTCGTCACTTAAACGGCTCAGGTATTTCAGATTTTGTAGGAAACTTCCGAAAGTTCGGAATCTCAATCCCGATGCCTGGGAATTGACTTGTTATTCTGTTCTTCTTTTTTAATGAACTGAGGATAGGCAGTGCAAGTAAAATCTGTATAAAGGTTTTTGAAAGTAAATAACTGCGCTCGCCCCAACGGTCGCACTGTCAGGGGTTCAAATTTTTTTTTGTCATGGTCAAGTCCAGGACTTACAGAGTAAATTTTAGGCAAGTCCGAGGAAGAAATGAACTGAGGATAGGCTATATGTATTAATATAGTGCAAGTAAAATCTGTATAAAGCTTTTTGAAAGTAAATAACTGCGCTCGCCCCAACGGTCGCACTGTAGAACATATTATTATGCTAATAGACATGGATTAATAAAATTAGCCCACAAACCCACATTTTTTTTCTTGAGTTTGCTTTATTTTTAGCTTTACGATCATTTTATTAATAAAAAAAAAGATTTGAGCTGCTAATAGACGATAATTTTCGTTCTCACCATATTCACAAGCCTAGTGACTGACTGGCTAAGCATCTACATCCACCAAGTTATCAAACGCCAGCGCTGAGGGGATCATCTCAGGCACAATGCAGCAACAGCTATAAAATAATTAAAATAAGAGCTGAAAATGATCATGAACATGCATTAAAATATATATAATTAATTACATTGTACATCATACTCTGTAAATGTTATCTTGGCTTGAACAAAGGAACATATAGGTAAAATTCTTTACATCAGTTCGATCCCAAACGAGGAAATTCGGCTTAAAATCCATGATTTTAATGAGATGTTTAGAGTTGTGAAATAATTATTACAAAATTGAAATAGTACACCAACGATTTCACCGTCGGGCAATTTATGTGTGGTGTCAAGACTAATGAACAGTAGCAGAAGCGTTCTTCATTCAAGGACACATAAAAATACCGTACAATATTGAACCTACCGGGTCTTAAAATGTCTTCCTCTTCTTCCATCCACTGCTAATCATGATTCCTCTGTTCTAGACACTCTCTTTCCAACTGCCATTCCGTGCAACATCAACATGGCATTCGATATTTTTGAATTTCGGCGAGTTGATTAAATTAATTGTTCATCGAGCCCGACTTCGATCCCGATGTTATTGTACTATTAGTCGAACAGTTAAAAAATTCTAAGTAATTTTCCACAGTTTTCCGGCGCAGAAAATGGCTAAGTTTTTCATTTTATCATTTTTTCCAAAGAATTCCACTACTTTCCTAACCAAAAAATATCTAAGTCCAATTTTTTTTCCAAATTCCAAAATATTCCAAAAACTTCCACATGTTCCAGACACTCTTTTCGAGTTTGGTATAGAAATGATTGGAATTCCATGGAATTCCAAAACTTTTCCAAACCCTTTGGAAAATCTACATTAGGGAATGTCAATCACGCATAAATTTTAAGAAGGGCGTGTGCTTTAGAGAGTATTAAATAAGTGTCATACATTTTGACACACTGATAGCTTAATTAATAATAGCATGTAAAAAGTAATCACAGGCCTCTGAATTACCCCCTCTATGTATGATAAAATACACCAGGTATGCAACGACTTTTAACCCCCTCCTCTATTCGGAGCTGAATTTTAGGGGGAAAAAGAAAGTGTCTATTCCTTTAGCATGCAGAACTGTGCCCAAAATTGATTTTCCTCAAATTCCATCGCTTCAAAAGTAAATGCATAGTAATATAGACGCAATCAACCATTTCTGTTTTTCAGAATTCTCTACACCTTGCCACCGCCATGCGCTGACGTCATGTAACAACGGCTCTGTACTAAACAAAATCACAGAAAATAAAAAGCAATCATTTTCCTACCACAAAAATAATTAACAAAACTATGAACTTTGAATTTTTTAATTTGTTATGGACTTTCTTTTGCTAAAAGTTATTGAAGTAGAAAAATAATTGCATTTAATTTGGTGTGCTTTATTCAGGCCTGTGAAATAATTGTTGTTTGTTCTTTTAAACATGGAGTATAAGCTTAATATGAGGTTGGAATGAATTAATGTATTACAGTAATGTATGTTTCATTTGTTTAAACAGCAGAAAATTTTCCCTTGTTCTATTTCAATATTATTTTTCCCAACTGAACCACTAACGGACCCCTTCTTGGTACTCAGGTGGAAAAAAAAACTTATTAATCAATTGCAACAAAATATTGGTCCATATGACTGCTTAAAAAAATGGGTGTGATGCAATTTATTTAAAGATCGATCTTGATTATTTTTTTTCCAAAACAGGAAAACAGAAGGTCATTCCAAATAGACCTCCGGGTATTTATATGCAGCCCGACTTCGATGTTTATTATAAAGATGGTGAATCTGTGAAATTGCCATGCAGGGCAGATGGAGTGCCCAAACCAACGTAAGTCATGTGACCTTGGCTAGTCCATGTCACAAAATTTATTTAAATTTTTATACATGCAAGAGAATGATAAGATATGCTGTTAGTTTTTTTCCTCTAGAATATAAATGCATCAAACAAATATAAAACTAGTGTGCTTGAGCAGTTTTGTCATGTTTTGGAATAAAATTATTCTGCTTTTATTTTTTATTTCTTCCCTGTAAAAATTTTGAACTCAAAGATTCAGTCAGTGACTTAAATAATTATATACATGTATTTATAAATTAATATTTGAATGCTCATATTTTAATGTGAAACTTAAAAAAAAGTATTGATTGCATTTTTTCTCTGAACAGGTACAGATGGAAAAGAAACGGCAGAGACCTGAATCCCAGCGGTAATGATGACCGCTTTGTCCAGCTCTCAGATGAGGGTACCATTGTTATTAATGCCCCGGAAGATAAGGATGAGGGTATTTTCCAGTGTATCGCTGACAACGGCTTTGGGATTTCTGTTTCCATTAATGTAAACTTTAGGTAAAAAACTTTATTTTCTTTATGAAATTTGGAAAAGAAATTTAAGGCACAATAATCTTTATTATGAAATATATTAAAATCTATTTTCGTATGTTTGTGTTGTACCTTGTTCATTCACTGGGTTGCGTTCTTAGTATTGCCTGCATGTATTGTATTTTTAAATAATCTTTTAGAGAGGGAAAGCTGGACGAATTTGAGGTAGCAGACTCTGTGACCCACCGTCCACACCTGGGGGAGTCGGTCACTCTTAACTGTGTTCCCCCCACCAGCTTTCCCCCAGCTGATGTTGAGTGGGTGCTGAAGACGTCAGAGGGTCACATTGAGCCCATAAACTACAACAATAGAATCTCAATGGATCTGGAAGGTTTGTTTTTTTTTTTATGCAGGAGTGGATCCAAGAGAAATGATATATTATAGGAGCAACACATATGACAATATTAGAAGGCACAAGTAATTGTTATTAGGAATTGTTCTCTACTTGTATGAATATGCATATCAAGAAAATGTACCATGAATATGCATATCAAGATAATGTACCATGAATATGCATATCAAGGTAATGTACCATAAATATGCATACTGTACCTGTTTTATTCAGTCTCATGCTTCCCTAATCAGGGTTCTCCATCAGTTCAAATTTAACTGTGGCGCAAGATTTACACAAATTGCAAATCATAATCTGACAGTCATTTCCTAGTTAGTTTTGGCGGAATTATGGTGGTGATTTTCTAATTGTGGTGCAAAAGATTTTAACTATGGCACTGATTTCTTTAACTGGTGCAAAAGAATTTAACTGTTGCAGGGCCGCCACGTTAAACAAGAACCAGGGTTTTAAACTAACTTGTAATCCTTGATCGCCATGTGGGCTACTAAACCTTGCAGTTCTGGGGCCCACATCAAAATTTATTCGCCCACAAATTATCACTCCTTCTAATGAATAAAAATACAACAACTCAGTTTTTCGTTATTTGTTTTTTATCATGTTTTGTGTTTCTTGACTATTGGCAAAACATTATGCATGACTTATCTAAATTTGAAGTCAAACTCTTTTGTTTAAAAAGATCGACATGGTTACATGTATTAAAAATCATATATTCAAGCACATGGCAGGTTTTTTCCAAAGATAACAACAATACTTTTTGGTTTGTTGGGCTCGTCAACGCGTCATTGCCACATTGTGTCCGTCACAATCACTCAGATGCTTTATTTATAAGTATTTAGCACTGGTAAAAATTTATTCTGCCTGCAGTCGCCCGTATCTAAAAAATATTTTTGCATCATTACGGAGATGCTTTGGAAATATAAAGCACTTTACTGATTACGAAATTTTTCAAGAGAAGAATACGAAACATTCGGACAAAATTGAAAAACAAATATTTAGTATTGTATTTAAGTGGGCTACTTGAACGTAATTTTAAGTCGCCCACATGGAATATTAGTCGCAAATTGCGAGTGGGCGACTGTTAATTTCAAGCCCTGAAGAACCCTGACTGATATTGATCTATTGTCAAATGGAATCAAATTTTAATCTGTTTTTCCTTTGCAGGACGATTATACATCACCAATGTACAAGAACAAGATTACAAGGAAGGGAAAGCCTATGTGTGTATGGCCATTAATTACTTCATGAGGCGAAACACTTATGACAAAGCCAACTACATCGTCCCGAGCGGAAGTAAGAATAAATTATTTTATTAATTTATTTATTCTTCATTTAAGTAACATGGATTGATGGCTTTAAAGTTTTACCAATAGAAGTTATGCATGATATTATTCAAATTTCAATATATTTTATGCAGATACTGCAACTTCCTGGCAGTTTCTTATTTAACACTAACATTTACTTGTATATGAAATGATATAAATAGTTATGATAATTTGTAATTTTTAGATCATAATATTTATTGGGTTTTTTTTTTTATAATTCCATTACATTTGTGTGAAATAGTACATTATAGATCAATTGCATAATTATTTGCAGCTTTTAAGCTCATCTGTTTAGAATATATATCATTAATGTAATTTTTTGCTGATTCTAGGCTCACCTGTTAAGAGACCTGCTGAGTACCTCTGGGCCTCACCCTCTGATCATTTTGGTCTGCGAGGAGATACATTTAAACTTAAGTGTATTTTCAGTGGAAAGTAAGTTGACTAGCTCTGTATTTCATTTAACATATTAAATCCAGTGTACATTTTTGTTTTATTACCTAGAAACTTAAATCTGTGTTCAAAGCTGATAAAAAACATCCAACTCAGCTCAAACTAATCAACATGTAGCCCGTCCTTAAAATTGTGTATTTAATTAATTCAAGTTCAGAGGGAAAAGTAAACTTGATTTAATCTGTGATGGAAACTATAAATGCTTAGCATAAAAAAAAAAAAAAAATTTCTTTGATCTATGTACTTATATCTCATCTTTACCTAGTATATTTCTATTTTGTTGAGCTTTGTAAACACCAAATATGTTTTTGTATTATAAAGTCCTACCCCAGAGGTGTTCTGGTTGAAGAATAAGGCTGACCTTCCGGACTACTACGAGGTCTCTCTCGGAGGACAAGAACTCACGATCCCTAACCTGACGGAGGACGATGCCGGACCATACGAGTGTTATGGTACAAACACCCAGGGACCCCGAGCCTTCAGAAATTTTGTCATCAGAGTAGAATGTAAGCTTTTCGCAGTTCATATACAGTGCATTAAAATTATTTTAGTCTGTCTAATATCATGGTTGTCATAAGAAAAGTCTGGATTAAATGATATTGAATTTCTTGTATTGTTATATCTGGTTTTAGATTACCATTTTTGACACTATGTCAGAACTCATGATCCATTATGTGGCAATTAAATGAAGTATTGCAAGAAAAAAAAGTAAAATTTAATACAACTGCAGTTGTAAAAATATTTATAATTGTAAAATAGCTGTAAATCTGATGAAAGTAAAATTGTTTTGATTTATTTTTATTGATAATTGATTACAAAATTAATGAATTTTATCCCTCAAGTCAATGTAAAATCTTATTTTAGCCAAACCATATTGGGAAGAAGAGCCAAAAGATGTGGAGACTAGTGTTGGGGCAGCTGTGACCTTCATCTGCAAGGCCAAAGGTTACCCTGAGCCAAAAATAGCATGGCTCATTAATGGGGTCAAGCTGGAAGGTATGCCTTTAATTTTAAAATGCATAAAGGTTAATTTTTACTAATTTGCCAATTTTAACCAATTTGCCTAAGATTTCATTATATTTTAGCTGATAATTTAAAGTGTGATTTATTTTTTTAAATTGGTTTCTGATTATTAAATATGTTACATGTCTTTTATTTCCAGAATCTAAAGTTCCAATCTTTCAAAGTGACAGATTCCTGAAACCAGATGCCAACAATTTGACCTTTGTGAACCTAAACAAAAATGATCACATGGTCATTCAATGTAACGCCTCCAACATCCACGGTTATGTGTTTTCTGATGTCTATCTTAACGTCTTGGGTAAATACTGTTTCTTCTTTTTTTGTTATTTTCAGAGATATTTTTTTATTAATAGAAGTTAAGCCATAGCTTTAAGATCAATATTTTGACATGGGGTGAAACAGGCTTAATCTTGTCATAATTTAGTTTAAATTTATACGATTTTAAATGCCAAGATTTTTTATTACAAAAAGTTTCTAAAACAAGCTGACAATTAAAATGCAATTTATTTCCGCATACCAGAGGAAGAACCTGCTATCATTGTCCCGCCTGCTCGCGAGCTGAAGGTGGCAGAAAGTCGCGACATCGAGCTGACGTGTATCACCAGCGGAAAACCTGAACCCATCATCACCTGGAGAAAAGAAGGGGAGCAGATTACAGGGGGGAGGTACCAGATCCAACCCAACGGAAACCTTCACATAGAGGTACAGGGGAACTTGATTGTCCATAACATAGATAACTTGACCTTAGAGATGCTGTTAACCAACTATTATTCATGACGACTTTATTTCGCGATTACCGGGGATAAACTAGTTCGCGGCGATTTATTTTCACAATCAAGTCCTTTCTGGATCTGTTGTCAATAGACACAGGGGCTTTAAGGACTGGTTCACAGTGAGAAATATTGGCAATGACAAGGCTCTCGCAAACTTCGCGAAAATTTCTCACGCGCAAATAAAAGTTGGTTTACAGTACAGTGGAACTTATTATCCATAAAACATATAACTTGAGTACCTTGGATATGTTGAGATGACTGTATAATGCATTGATGTTCTTGTAATTTAATTACAGAGTGTGGTTTTATCTGATGCTGGTAACTACACGTGTCATGCCTACAATAAATTTAACTTTGATGAAGCCTGGGGAGTCCTGATCGTACGAGGTAAGAGAGTCTGGGTCAAGGAAATTATTTTTGAAAAGGTTTCAGTTGTTATGCAGTATTTGCAATGTTCAAACATATTGCTGAAAAGAGTGCATTGTTATTTCCAAATTCTTTTGCAAATTCAGATTTTTACTCAGAATCAAATGTGTGAACATGAGGGATTTTGTTCTGTATTAAATTTTTAAAACTAGTTTCTCTATATTGTTTTAAATTATTTTACAGCCAAAACTAGGACAGTACAAAGGCCTGGAGGATTAGAAGTGACGGCAGGAAGTGACGCTAAATTCACCTGCTCTGGAACAACAGATTTTGCGGAGATCAAGAACCTGAAGATTTCCTGGCTGAAGGATAACAAACCCATCACGACAAATGACCAGCGAATGACCCAGAACTTCCAGGACAACTCCCTGACTATTAGTGGAACTATCGCTAGAGACTCGGGAACCTACACTTGTGTCATCTCCAATGGTTTAGACAGTGCCACAGCAGGGGCCATTTTAACAGTAAAGGGTACGTGTTAGCCTGCTTTTCAAATTGTTTATTAAAATATTTTATAGAGTTAACTTTTCTTTTAATGAAAGATATCATTAGTCATAGCGTTCTTAAAAATTTGATGCAAATTTGGTTTTATTATGGAAAATATTATAAAAAGCATGACATGTTGATCAACACAGAATTTATAAGCACTGTTATTATTCAGTATCAGAATGTACACAGGGAAAGTGACTCATATAAATGTACAATTCTATTTACAGATAAACCAGACCCACCCATAGGAGTGTCATTAATCACGTGCAGCGAAACACAGGCTGAGATAGGTTGGACCAAAGGGGCATCTAACAATGCTCCCATTCAGTATTTTATAATTCAGTACAACACGTCCTTTAGTCCTGACGAGTGGTTTATCGGAGCCAACAATGTCTTGGCGACCCAGAACAATGGGTTTGTCACACTGACCCCTTGGGTGGAGTACAGCTTCCGTGTGCTGGCTACAAATAAGATCGGTGCCAGCGAACCTAGCTATCACACGGAGCAGATCTGTAAGACTAACGCAGCCAGGCCGTCGAAAAATCCCGAGAATGTCCGCACCATTGGGGATAAGAGAAACTATCTGATCGTTGAATGGACGGTATGAAAATGTTTCATCATGTAGAAGATAAATCAGGAAAGATTTATAATTTTGAAAATTTTTAGAAATAACAAAGTCATCAGAATGTTTAACATATGGCGTGGTACTGCATATCTGAAATAATAATTACAGTTGAAATGTACAAACGGTATTCAATTAAGGCCCAGTTTTCTTGTGACTCAAAACCGATAAAATTTAAACTAAATTGATAACATCTTATACCTGTAATAACATATTTTAGGAATTGCATGCAGTGAAGATTCTTATCATGTCTTATCAAACTTTTTCAATCTGATTAACTACATCTACATGTGCTTGATCATGCACTTTCACATTCACTTATTTTTCAACTTTTTTTCCATAGCCTATGCCTCCTATAGAGCATAATGGTCAGCAGTTCAAATACATCCTGACCATTCAGAGGGAGGGACAAGGCACGAGTGATATCTCTCCGGTCACTATCTCTGAGTGGAGGACATTCCGCTATGAGAAACAGACCAGCGACGTGTTCGTGCCCTACCTCATCACAATCAAGGCAAACAATGAGGCTGGCGACTCCACTGCTCCAGTTCAGGAGGTCAAAGGTTACTCGGCCGAGGAAAGTAAGGGGTTTATATTCAACACTATTTTTATTTTTCTTTCACTGACATTCTGTAATGTGGAAAAAATTGTATAAATATGTGACACATTTACATTTTTAAGAAATATGTTGCTTAGAAAAATTAAAGTTAAGGACTTGAAAGGAGAGAAATGTCCAAGACAATTAAATTTTATTTAGAGATTGTTAAACCCATGATTGACATCCTTTTTGTAATTTGTACGTGTTTGAGATCCATTGGAAATGTTCTGTTTATTTTTCAGTCCCTACCATCAGTGTTGGAGACCTTACCACAGACTCGACTGTCACGGAGTCCTCTGTCACCTTCTACTGGGACTGGGACGAGAACCTTAACACCCCACAGCCAGGCACCCCCGTACAGGGCATCTTCAGGGGATTCAAGGTTAGGATTATCTTAAGTAAAATATATTTAAAGAATGGACATTTGAACTTTATCTTTAATACCACAGTAAGTAAAGTGAATTGGTAGTCCCACATACAATATGCATATTTTACTTTGGTTATTTTAAAAATAACAGATATCTAGAATTTTAATCTGTTTCCCATCAAGTTCAAGATAAGAATATTTGACTTTTCCTGTTCTTTTCCTAAAAACACAGTAATAAAAGACTAAAGAGATTATACATGTTTTTGATCAGTGATCAGTTTTAAGTATTTTCAATAATAACTGATGATTGATTATGAAAATTTACTAAATTTTCAACACTATTTAGAGATATGTAAGACTGTACTTTAAATGGAATTTTATGCAAATCAGATTCAGTACTGGGTCAGAGGTCAGAAGGAACAAACATTCCAAGAGGCCGAGATTCCCGTCAGTGAACTCACTCTTAGATACGCAAGACGCAAGAAGCGGGCCATACAGTCGTACAAATACACCCTAGAGGGCCTGCTTGGATATCAGGACTACGAGGCTCAGATGAGGGTCATGAACACATACTACGCAGGCCCACCTAGTGCCATCGTGTCATTTAGGACAACACTTGGAGGTAAGTCATTTTGTTATTATTTGACAGAAAACATCTCCTGTGTTTTAATTAAAAAAAAAGGCCTTGATATTCTTTGTCAGGCTTCAAAGCAATTCAGAGTGAATAGTTTACATATTAGATAATGAAATACTTTACATGTATATGAATGATATACTAAATTTGTTTTGTTTATAGCTTATTTGTAAATTCAAAGCACAAATCCATTTCTTACAAACATTGCATCGATGTAAAAATTCTGTCAAAAATCTTTTCACTCCGTGTTTGTTGTGTTGATTTTGAAGAAATTGACAGAGCTCTGGAGAGTGTTAATAACAGGCATAATTGTTGTTGTTGTTTTTGAAGAAAGATTTAGACAGGACATAATAGATAATTGTTGGTTTCTTTTGACAGTAACAGGGAGTAATATTATGCATGTATGCTGTACACAGGTACACATAATGTGTAATTTCGTTTGCCAAATAAACTGCGTAAATAAACAGCTTGGGTATCAAACATAATTTGGACAAATTTTATAAGGCTAGCCTGGGAACCCCCAGAGGTCGTGGACCAATCATTTGGCAGTAACTGGTACAACCTGTTATCTGGGTATGACATAGGATACCAAACAGGTAAGATTCACAGATATCAAAAAGAAGGTTGCCTTTATGTGCAAAATCCTTTACACATGTGTATTTAATTTCCTAACATCAGTTTACTTTTAATAATTAAAAATGCTTTGCTAGAGGTAAAAAAAAAAAATCTTTGTAAAATTTTGTTAGTTATAAATTTAAATTTTGATGCGTTGGGGAATAATTTCATGTATTAGTGTCTCTTACAATCTTCTGCTAGCATGAATATGAAAAATTGTTTGATTCACTTGTAACAATTTTTTTTATAAATAATTTTACATGTGTTAAATGACCAAATCTGTACTATAGTGAGTGGCTTGGACCTTGGAAACCTACAAGAGAAGATTCCAGACATAACTGATCCTAGGACCAATGAAACCTATGTAAATGGACTTGTATACAAAACCAAATACAGGCTGTATGTGTGGCCAAAGAATACCAAAGGTCGAGGGGAAGTGTCCTTCATCGAGGCCTCAACAGCAGGACCTGCGTGTAAGTAGTCTGAACTAAGTATATTAGTAGTACATGTATTAACAACAAATTGGATTTTTTGCAGAGCAACATTATAGGGAGTATTGAGATTTGGTATTTCATCTGATAATTTTTATACGCCCGTCTTCAGACGGGACGTATTATGTTATAGGCTTCGTGTCCGTCCGTCTGTTAGCTTTTTCGTTTCCGGCTCATAACTTTAATACTATTAGGCCTAGGATTATCAAACTTTGTCATCTGATGCGTCTTGGGTAGAAGGTGTGTCGCGCACAAAAGGTAGGTCGCTCTGACCTTTAATTAAGAAGTTATAGCCAAATATGGAAAAATCCTTTCCGGCCTATAACTAGAAAACTATAATACTTAAAATCATCAAACTTGGCCAGTTTATGCATCTTAGGTAGAAGGTGTGTCGCGGCCTATTTCAAGGTCACTGTGACCTTTAATTTAAGTGATTTTTTTAAAAAAACTAAGTCTTTAAAATTTTAAATTTCATAATCCTAAAAAATGTAAAAATATAGTTGTATCCTTGTTTAAAAATGTTAAATCAAGTAAAAACTTATTTTTTCATTATATGCTTTACAGCAATCTGTAACAAATGTTAATGTTTTGAGAGGAATTCAGTTTGTCCCATGGGCATAATTATCAGGCACTGGTCAAGAAGAATTTTGATAACAGAAATAGAGAGAAATTAATGAGTTTATTGTCAGGCGCTAAGTGGTAGAGCAGATCTCTGAAAATGCAGCTGTTATCTTTATCTTTAATCTTTTGGGAGTTGGGCAAAAAGAAATGGCCTCATAGTTGCTTGTGTTAATTAAGAGTTCTTGATGGTTAGTTCAGAAAAAGATCTTTCAATTGGTGTAATGTAATTAAAACAAATTGATGCTTTAAAGTACAGTGTATGATAAAAATTAATTTAATATTGTATAATATAATTAAAACTAATCCTTATGAAAAGATGTTAAATTAAGTAAAAACTTATTTTTCATCATATTCTTTAACAGCAATCTGTAACAAATGTTAATGTTTTGAGAGGAGGAATTCAGTTTGTCCCATGGGCATAATTATCAAGCACTGGTCAAGAAGAATTTTGATAGCAGAAATAGAGAGAAATTAATGAGTTTATTGTCAGGTGCTAAGTGGTAGAGCAGATCTCTGAAAATGCAGCTGTTATCTTTATCTTTAATCTCTTGGGAGTTGGGCAAAAAGAAATGGCCTCATAGTTGCTTGTGTTAATTAAGAGTTCTTGATGGCTATAGTCCAGATAAAGATCTTTCAATTGGAGTAATGTAATTAAAACAAATTGATGTTTAATGTATGATTAAAACTAAATTAGTATTGTATAATATAATGAAAACTTATTATACATGTGTTCATTGAAATAAAATTACCGGGGTACATTTCAATTTTTATATATTTGCAACAAATTGCAGTCACCATGCCTCACTTAGAATTTTATAGTCTAAAAAATAATTTATTTTTGATTTTTTTTATTAGATTGTAGCATTTCCATTATTCCATTAAATATGCAATAAACAATTTAAGCTCCAGATGGATATTTGTTAAGTTCTAACACAGCCAGTTTAGAATTATATGATGTATTATTTGTTATAATTAATTCCTACACTGTAAGTCTCTTAGAGATGTTTGTACAATATTTTAAACATGATAAGAAATGGAAATTAGATCATTGAAATCTGTGTCAATCTGTTAATCAAGGTTATCTGATTTTCTTGCACCTTAACCAATTTATGATTATTGAACAATATATTTGACGGGCGTATCATGCTGTGGCGGGGCACTTTATTTACATATGTCCACCAGCAAATTATAGTGTTACAGTTCAATGCATAACATTTTGTAAATGATATTTTATAATGAAAATTTGAGAGTGACTTATATGAGTAATGATATTTTATAGCTAATTATCTTAAGATTATATTACTCTAGTAATTCAAGGATTTGGGAGGGAAAAAAATTAATTAAAAAGGAGCTAAAGTATTTTTAACATACTTTTTTTTAGGAAAATACATGTAAAGAAGCTATTAAACCTTGGTGTCTTGAACACTAATATCTTGGATATAATGGAGTTACTTGGAGGTCCTAACTTCTGTTTGTAGAGTTTTAATGACTACCTGCATACATGTGTAACATTTTTAGCTCACCTGAGCCGAAGGCTCAAGTGAGCTTTTCTGATCAAAATTTGTCCGTTGTCGTTGTCGTTGTCGTCGTAAACTTTTCACATTTTCATCTTCTCCTCAAGAACCACTGGGCCAATTTCAACCAAACTTGGCACAAAGTATCCTTGGGTGAAGGGGATTCAAGTTTGTTCAAATGAAGGGCCACGCCCTTTTCCAAGGGGAGATAATCATGAATTTGTTAAAAATTAATGGCATTTTTAAAAAATCTTCTTCTCCAGAACCGCTGGGTCAGGAGAGATGAAACTCATGTGGAAGCATCCTCAGGTAGTGTAGATTCAAGTTTGTTCAAATCATGACCCCCAGGGCAAGGATGGGGCCAAAATGGCCGACCCAAGTTTTACATAGGAATATATAGGAAAAATCTTTAAAAATCTTCTTCTCCAGAACCACTGGGCTAGGAAAGATGAAACTCATGTGGAATCATCCTCAGGTAGTGTAGATTCAAGTTTGTTCAAATCATGACCCCCGGGGCAAGGATGGGGCCAAAATGGCCGACCCTAGTTTTACATAGGAATATATAAGAAAAATCTTTAAAAATCTTCTTCTCAAGAACCACTAGGACAGGAAAGATAAAACTCATGTGGAATCATCCTCAGGTAGTGTAGATTCAAGTTTTTTTTCAAATCATCACCCCTGGGGCAAGGGTGGGGCCAAAATATAACCCAAGTTTTTCATAGGAATATATCAGAAAAATCTTTAAAAATCTTCTCCTCCAGAACCACTGGGCCAGGAAAGATGAAACTCATGACCCCCGGCCATGGGGATAGGGTGGGGCCTAAAATCTTCTTCTCAAGAACCACTAGGACAGGAAAGATAAAACTCATGTGGAATCATCCTCAGGTAGTGTAGATTCAAGTTTGTTCAAATCATGACCCCTGGGGCAAGGGTAGGGCCAAAATGGCCGACCCAAGTTTTTCATAGGAATATATCAGAAAAATCTTTAAAAATCTTTCCTCCAGAACCACTGGGCCAGGAAAGATGAAACTCATGTGGAATCATCCTCAGGTAGTGTAGATTCAAGTTTGTTCAAATCATGACCCCCGGGGCAAGGATGGGGCCAAAATGGCCGACCCAAGTTTTACATAGGAATATATAGGAAATATCTTTAAAAATTCTTCTCCAGAACCACTGGGCCAGGAAAGATGAAACTCATGTGGAAGCATCCTCAGGTAGTGTAGATTCAAGTTTTTTCAAATCATGACCCCCGGCCATGGGGATAGGGTGGGGCCAAAATGGCCGACCCAAGTTTTACATAGGAGTATATAGGAAAAATCTTTAAAAATCTTCTTCTCCAGAACCACTGGGCCAGGAAAGATGAAACTCATGTGGAATCATCCTCAGGTAGTGTAGATTCAAGTTTGTTCAAATCATGACCCCTGGGGCAAGGGTGGGGCCAAAATGGCCGACCCAAGTTTTTCATAGGAATATATCAGAAAAATCTTTAAAAATCTTCTCCTCCAGAACCACTGGGCCAGGAAAGATGAAACTCATGTGGAATCATCCTCAGGTAGTGTAGATTCAAGTTTGTTCAAATCATGACCCCCGGGGCAAGGATGGGGCCAAAATGGCCGACCCAAGTTTTACATAGGAATATATAGGAAATATCTTTAAAAATTCTTCTCCAGAACCACTGGGCCAGGAAAGATGAAACTCATGTGGAAGCATCCTCAGGTAGTGTAGATTCAAGTTTGTACAAATCATGACCCCCTGGCCCTGGGGATAGGGTGGGGCCAAAATGGCCGACCCAAGTTTTACATAGGGATATATAGGGAAACCTTTTAAAATCTTCTTTTCAAGTACTTCAAAGCTATGATTAGTGATACCCGGGGTATTTATATGGAATCATCCTCAGGTAGTGTAGATTCTAGTTTGTTCAAATGATGATCGCCTGGAAGGGGGGGGGGAGTAAATTCAAGCCTGATGTGCTCAGGTGAGCGCTGTGGCCCCTGGGCCTCTTGTTTGGTTTAGAAATTTTAAAATCATACTTAGTGAATAAATTCCCATTTACAGCTTCAAAAGCACCAGCGTTCACAATGAAAGATGTCAACCAGACTTTTGTTAATGTGACATGGAACTTAAAAATGGACCCCAAATCTGGCACAGTCATTTACATTGAGTACAGAAAAGAAGGTGAGCATTTATCCTAAGTAACTTGCAGAAATAGTGGTTATTAATTATTCACATTCATTTGCAAATTAAGGCTTTCCTACATGTACACTGTACATGTACCTTATAATAAAACAGAGGATAACCCACTGACAGGTCTATTTTTAGTTTTTGAGATGCCTTATTTTGAAAATATAAACTAAATTTTTGGCTTGAAATGATCACAAAATCTGTTGAATAAATATAAAATAAAACAGGATACGTTTTTTTACAAAATATGTTTTGGTATTTTTGTATTTTTCATTGTGGCCATTTCAAAATTTGGAAAGTAAATACATGAGCTGATTTTTTTTTCCAGGCGTGTATGAATTCCAGCGTACTCCTGACGAGGTGGCTAAACAATGGCGAGCTATCACAGAACTGGATGATGGCACAACATACGAAGTCCGCCTTGTCTTGACCGATGGAAAATCTCCCTCCACAAGTGCCATTCAGACTGTTCGTACACTTGGAGTCGGTAAGTAACATATTTTTTACAACACTCAATAGATATAGAAATATTGAAATCTGAAACTTTTATCAAATGAGGATTCCAAAACTTTCATTTTCTGAGAGAGTAAATTATAAGTTGAAGGATAAAGACAAGATAAATGTCATAGATATAACATATTTAAAGTTTATACGATACCGTAAATCTGGAAATTTTTACTGTAGATAAATTTTTAGCAAATTTGCGCATACATTGCATTCGCAAAAATATTTTTCTTAAAAATAAATCAACATGTGAAGAATTTTTTTCTGAGAACGCGTGTCATTTTTTAACTCGGTGAATAGGCGTCGGTAAGCACTGGAAACCTGTTTACACTAGTCTACTATATAACTACAAGTTAATTACCCGTGCGTGTAAATTGCCCTCATTATATGCAATATCGTCCTATGATTTGACAAGCACTGAGGCAGTATGCCCGTTTTTAATTATTTTCATCAATTAATTTGCCAATAAAGAGAGAACTGTCATTTTATCTAACCGTGTATCAACACGGGCGATAACTCAAACTCAGTGCATTTACTAGAAAGTTCCAAATGTAAATGTAGCGTGTAAATTTTAGGTGAGAAAAAACCAAACGTTGAGAAAATTAGTTATACCGGTATTTTTTCTTCATTTGGATTATACTTCAGGTTAAAAGGCATACACAACCTCTAAAATGTTTGTTATAATTGATTAAGAAATTATTTTCAGTGCAAATCCTTTTGTATTTTTATCAAAATTGTTTCGGAGCGATTTTGCAATATCTTGCCACGTTGCAAGTATATTGGTGGTATTCTAACCGGGCATATTATTTGAAACATAACCTGATATGAAAATCATTAGTGATTTTTATTTTTAGCACCAGTGAAAATTCGCAAAAATTTGAAGCGTAAAAATTTATCAACAGCTTTTTGACCCAAATTCGCAAAAATAAATCGACGTAAAAATTTCCAGATTTACGGTATTTATTTTATATATGAAATGATACAGATACAACCATATTTCTTTTTACATCATTTAGGTAACAGAAAAGAATATATTACACATGTATTAGATATAAAGACTGACAATTTTCTGTATCTGTTACAGCGGCGGCGTACAGTCTGGGAGCTAACTTTGCGTGGTTTATTGGTCTCGTTCTGTCTCTGTTGATCATCATTGCGGTGGTGGTGTTTATTATTATGTGCCGCAAGGTCACTAAACACCAGCCTCCACCTCAGTCCAAACTCAACGGTAAGTACTGCCACCACATAAAACAGAATATGGGAAGGGGAGGTTAGGGGATAGGCATTGATATCATCAAACTAAATTTTTGCCATTTCGTGAGTTATTTCCCTTTTTGATTTCATTTAACAAAAAAAAAAAGAAAAGAAAAAAATTTGTTCAGTATTTGAAATTTTCTTTTTTACTCTGAGAATGGAAGTTGTAGAGGGAGTCTAAATTTAATATAGCCTTCAAATTAGTTTTAACAGCATATTGTAATTTACATAAGAAAGATACAGAAGACACCAAAAATAAATTCAAAAAAATATTGCTTTAGATAATTACTGAAAGTTTTGGGAGACATTTAGTTATACATGTAATTTAAACCAGGACAATTTAATGATGAAGTGGGATATTAATCTTTGAATGATTGCAGTAAATGCTATGCAAAAAAAAAGCTTGTCACAAGTACAGTTGTATGTGGATAATGACACTGATTTTGAACTATAGCTCCGACTCGCAGCGTCTCGGCCATGTCAGGACAGGATGGGGAATACAATTACAGGTATGGAAGGTAAATGTTTCGTGCCCTAGCCACAGGTAGTCACAGGTTGTCATGGTTACAGAAATAAACAAAATTTTTTTTTTGTGAAATCATTTGACAAAACTACATTGAATCAAGAGAATAAAAGCATTGAGAAATGTTTTTCTAGTTTTCTTTATACAATTTTTCAAAAGACTACATTTTAAGCATGTCATTTTATTTAAACTCTACATATAAACCTTTGAGGAGGGTGTGTGTGTGTGAAAATGTGTAATGTTTATTCTTAATAAAATAACTGTTACCATGACAATCTGTATTGGTATATTATCCTATTCCTATATACTTTATCTCTAAAGCATGTATTCAAATGTGTGTTGATTTTTATTTTTTTATGATGACACATTGAGGTAACAAATTTCAAAAACTATTTAATTTTAAGAAAATTTATCAAAAATATAGTATAGTTTTAAAGTGAAACACTTGTTGAAGTGCCAAAAAATTAGATAAGAGAAGATTTATGCTCAGGAACGACCTAAACTTTGCACATGCTTAATGTATTCATTTCCCAAGGTAAAGCTAGGTAAATCCCTCATCACGCCTTACCTGTGCCAGATGTTAAATGTAATTATATCATGAAATCATGTTATACATCAATGTTACAAATGTATAATAAAGCTTTTTGGTACAAAAAAATGTTTTACTGAAAATGTGTCATCTAAATCAAGGCAATTATGTTTCCATTCAGTAATGTGCCTTGGTTTTGCTCAGGTGAAATTTTATTTTATTTTTAATTATTTGTGATGGAAACCTGCTAAACTGCATGAGGTTCAATGTTGTAATCTTATTCCTGCTTGAAACAAAAATTCTGGAGGAAAAGTTTTGCTTGGTTATGTCCAAATTAATGCACTTTATACTAGTACATGTTATAACATCAAGTATGTGAGGATCCTGGAAGTGAATGAAACATTTCACTTCTCAATTCTAACCAAGGATACTAGCTTGCTCAGATAAAATGGGAATCAGCAGACTAAAGTCCTTGCTTATATTTTGAATTATTACATTACATATTGTATATTTAACAGAGATAGAGGGGGCTCTTCCAATCTTTTGTTGCAAGTAAATCGCACAGATGTGTTCAGGTTATGGATGATAATTATTGAGCTTTTCCAATTAAATTCAATTGATACTCTTTGTTTAAAATAACAGAGGAGAAATACAACATCAAACAAATATACATGGCACTATAGAGTGTACAGTTAACATTTACCTGGAAGTGTAACTCTCTTAACTACTATTGATGAATTTACTAAGGTTATTGATATCCGATATACCTTTGTTCATGGAATGAAATTTGATAACTTAAAAGCACTTGATCATCTTATATATGTTGATGATAGATACAATTTTCTACAATCATCTAATTCTTGGCAAAACGTGCCAACTTGGGATAATTTGCATAAAAGGCTTCAAAAGTTATGAATAATTGTTTTTTAAATTACCCCGCGTATCCAACAAGCATTGATGTCCCTGACATACCCAAACAAACTAGACGACGATTCCTTACATTTCATTTTGAAATAAAATTGTAAATTCAGACGAGTTAGGTCCCCCATGTCAATTTCAATAGCCCCCGCCCACTGACATCAGACACAAAGATAGATCTACATGCATATTAGGCCTTTTTTAGTTCATGACCTTTCGCTTGGCGAAATTTATATAACGGTTGAATTATCAAGAAATCAACTTTATTATGCCGAACTTTCAAAGAGTTGTCGCAGAAAAAACAAATAGACAAAGTTTCACAACAATTTATTCTAAACCATGCTAAACACAATATAAGGGGTTTTATTAAACTATACTTATTGTATTAGGTGTCGAAATCGTAATATGATTTTGTATCATAAAGTCATCTGCAGTGCTCAAGTCGGTGGGATTAAATATACAAGTGAAAATTTTCCAATATTTTTTGTCAAGCAGGAAGACCCAACAGCATGATATTTTTACAATTTAACCAAAAATTGCATTTGTTTGAATGTGAATTTTATTAAATTATTCAAATGCGCATATATGTTGTGCTACTCGCAATATTCAATGTGTATTACTGCTATGATGCCAACTTTATTTGACGTCTGTTAAAAAATAACTATGTATGGGAACATTTTGCCTTGATGTAGTTTAGTACTTGCATTTTGTTTAATAACATGCAATACGTAGCGAAGCTAGACAGTTATTAAATCTACAATACTGATAAATTTTGATTAACATCATACTGAAAATTTATTTTTGGTCTATTGTTAAAAATCATTTTAAGAACAGGACTAGTAATTGTATTAGTTTTGATCTGATATGAATACGTTTTAAAATAATAAAAGGGGAACAGATATTGTTTTTACGTAGTCACTTTTATAATACTAATTTCTTCCCATAAAATTGTTAAGAATTTCATCTTGTTACAATAAATAATGTATTTAGATTTGATACCTTGAAAAAAAAAACAACAAAAGTGATCCTTAAACTTTAAATTTAAACTCGGTGTTGTTTAATGCGCACTTCTATGTATAATCTTTTTTGTTTTAGTTATGAGGGCAGTATGCACAAGAAAAGTGCCTCTTCCTTGGATAAACCGTACTACGACGATTCTGAAGGATACGATCGATATCGCGATGGTTACGACCAGGATGACCAGCCTTACGATGAACGATACGACGATCGATACGATGACAACGCTTACAACAATCGTTATTACGATGATCGCTATCACGATGACCGTTATGAGGACGATAGGAGAGGATATGACGATGATCGATATAGTGATGATAGGAAGCAATATGACGATGACGACGAAGGCGGATTTAGGGACCACGACCGTCGCCCCAGCGACAGGGATGATCATTATTACCCGGATGATGACAGGAATTATGAACCCTACCAAAAACGCACCTACGACCGAACCCCAAGCTACGAGAAACGCCCCATTGATGACGTCGACTATGATCAGTATAGGGAACCAGGCAAGTTTGATCATGACGGAAACCCGATCAACACCCGCCCAAGACCGCCACCTAGCGGCGCTAACGGGTCTGGTCATGTGCCAGGAACATCCAGTTTTGTGTAAAAATGAAATCATTAATTACAAACGATTTACTTTTGACATTCCCGCAATTATCATATCTATGGAGATTCGTTTTGAATGACTGAAGTTTATAACTTGTAAGAGACAAACTTTATGCAGAAGTTGGTATTTTGCCAGATTCCAAGGATAAGACAGAATATACCAAATTATTTTGATATTTATGCCTGAGACAATTTTACAAGGGACCTGTTTCATAATCAAGGTTGGAGATATATTACAAGTCAGATTTTTTAGCGTATTTTTGTATATATGGACATTTTTTTTTTTTACACATGAATCATATTTTTATACGAAGTATAAGTGCCATTTTCTGATCATTATATGTATATAATCATTAATTCATGGTATAAATGGTTTCTTAAATTGTATATTTGCAAGACTAGATGAGATGTATTTTATATTTACATTGAATTTTTTAAGGGATTGTTCAAACATCTACAAATCATTCCATATTGACATTATTAACGTGATGTGTATTGTATATTTTTAATTAGACATATAATTCCTGCTACATTCCATTAGTTTGTAGAAGTATATTTGTATAGGCACATTAAAACATATCAGATCGAATTTTTATATTCAGGGCCTATTTCCAATAAATTTATAACAAAGAAAGATCCGTTTCCTTATCTTTGGGTAACCCATAAGACGCAAAATGTAACCTTAATCACTGCATCGCTTGGATGAGCTTAAGCAAGACTTGCAAAAAATTAAGAGTTGCATTATATTTTCAAAAGCAGACATTTCCCTAGGGCAAGGATTCTAGGATGGAAAGGACTTCTAATTGATTTGTTAATTACACTGCGATGAGTTCATCAAAACGAACCTGATTGCTTTCATTATGGCTTTATTAAAGACAGTAACGAAATGTAATCTGAAAATTAGGTATTAGAAATCGTCTACTAATGACTGAAATTTACAGACAGGTTTGATGAATTCAAGGATAAGGGAAGTCGGTCAGCGGTTTGTAGGAGGCCGGAACATTAAATCGTATTTATCAAGAATGGTAAGGGCAGCCAGGATACACTGCTCACTAAAGAGTTCCAATTGTCAGGTATTAAACGGAAATTTGCATTGCATGACGCAATTTGCATTCCTTTTTATTTTGTCATATCAGATTTTAAAATTACAACGTTTTCATGTTTCACATCCAATGTACAGCTTTATATCAAAAAAAAAAAAACAAACCATCGACGTAAAGAGCTTTCTGAAATACACTGTAACTAATACTAAATGAAAGAACTATATGCGGTATATTGCATATATTTGCCCCCATAAAAGTCAAATTTTAAAAACTTCCTGAAATGTGCTGAATTCAATAAATTGTATGAGAAATATGAATTAACAAAAAATATTATAGTGTCAAAGCAGTGTATTCACAATTTTTGTTTTTATGACGTCACAAACTAGTCCAATTTTATATCCTTTTTCAGAAAGAGGACAAAATGGACACAATTTCAACAATTTTAGCTTTAGAATTTATAGAGCGCAAGTTTGTTCAGGGACAATATTGACAGATTTCATTGATATTATCATTCTACACATTATATCTAAATATTGATCCTGAACACATATGCGCTCGGTGACTTTTACTCAAAATATCGACGAAATATGTACATATTTCTGTAAAATTCATCAAAAACTGAAATTTACGTCAGGTTTGTGACGTCATTACGTACATATGGCGTCATTACTTATGAAAATATTCGGTACTTTGAAGTCAGCATATAGATCTACTCCCCTGTTTAAGAACTTAATCAAATATATCTCCATCAAAGTTTGATTCGGGGGGCAAATATTGGTTATTACCGAATAAAGTTCTTTGGATCTGCTCCTCAAGTCTACTAGTAAATATTATGGAATGAATTGTCTGTCCAACACTAATATAATCCTGGGTCAACCATGATTTAATTGTTATTGTTGCACCCAGACTTATGCAACCTCCAACAAGTCGGCCAAATATTTAAGGTAGAATGGGATATCTCCATGTTATGACGTACTTCCGTTTGAAATATTGTTTTGATTTGCATGAGCGCTTATTATCGGGTCAAAAATTGTAGATACACCGTTTAAAAGAACAAACTGTAGCTAATTCAATGCAAGTTCTCATAAGTCGGCATTTTAGCTATAGACAAAAAAGTATATAAATATACTTTTAATTGTACTATGGACATTTAAAAAGCAAACTCTGTAAATCATATAGTTTAAACATTGCAGCTTTTGAACACTATTAATGAAAAGCTGTCTTTCAATTGTTTAACTGTCCACTACCCAAGGTGCGCGATGAGGCATGGATAAGTATGAGGATTTCACATTGTGCTTAATAATTACCAATCAATTATCACGTTAACCAGGGCTGGTCTTATTTGTTATTTAATTCAAGAAGTAACTGTTTGGTCACAAATCAGCTAGCTGTTGGATATAGTCCGAATACTTTTAAATGAATGTAATGGCTCGATCTGAATGAGACACGTTTTGAAAGCGATTGTCCAGGCATTGTCTTCAAAACAGTTCCAAGTTAAAAACTACTAATGAAAGAAAGTGCGATTTTTTATATCGGTGATAAAATGCTGAATGATTTCTTAAATAGCACCCAGATTTTTTCAACCCCTGGAAAATAAAGAAAGATAACTCTTCCGTTCGGATCTTTTAATCCAAAAATATTTAAATGCATCTGATATTTTCCATTTAAATATATTTTTTCAATTTCTTTATTTCAATTTGCCGACATATTAACATACATTCTAATTGTAGATTTTCATGCAATTTTATCCGTCTGTTTTCAAGAAATGAAGTTTTCCCAGTTTTTTTTTTAGCTTATTATTTTTTTTAATTAAAAAAAATACGAAGACATATTTCTTGTCATTTTTGTTTTTATATACACTTGATATTAGAAAACTCCTGCCTATAATATTAAGCTTTTGATATAAGAATTATATGATAAAAAATCAGTTTTGTATTTCTCATTAAAATAATAAAAAATTATTAAAATTACGATTTAACATACTGAAGCGTGATGGCATTTCAAATCCTCCTAATTTGGGTAAATGAATATATAGGAGAAATTTCGTTTGGTATCCCATACCACCTTAATATAGGTACTTTTATATAATCCTATAGCATGGAATAAATATTTATGCCCTGTCATGAAAATGGCCGGGGTATATATATATAGTTTATCATGTCCGTCTTCCGTCCTTACATCCTTCCATTCAAGATATTTTTGTCAACATTCGTATGTTGATAACTACCATCTTATGTTAGCTTTTCAACTTCAACAATTTTGACCCCGACGTTTCCTTTGACCTTGACTTCACTTTTCTTAAATTATAGTCAGGTTCCCGAGACCCCTCGGCTTTTCGGGAACCTGATAGTGTTTAGCTCAGTTTTAAATAAATCATTCAAAATATAGTTTGTATCAATCTTAATATGCTGGTACGTATTAGTGGGATAATTCAACTGCATTATCGATAAACACTTTTGACCTTGCACCTTTATGTGACATTGACTTCACTATTCTTTAATTTGCATAATTAAAAAAATCATTTTTAAAAAATTAAAGTTGATGGACTTATACATAATATGGTGGGAATTTATCTTCTTTATCAAATTTTCAAACTTTCAATTTTAATTTAACTATTCAAGATTTTATCACCAAACTTCATACATGAGTACAAATTTCATGTCGCATTACTAATAAACACTCCGCGGGGCATTCATGTTCTATGGACACATTTCTATTTACATGAGTTTTGAACTATCGGCACCGAAGGTCTGATTCCGTTCATAGTGGACAAAGAACATAAAGGATTAACAAGAAAGTAGCGGTAGGATAAAGAAAACAGGTGTCAAACATTACTGAGCGAATGCTGATATTTTAGCGACATGTGTGTGAATGTAGATGAAAAATTAATATAAACAGAAGCCAATTAAATAAGGAATTATATGTCCATCTCTGATTGTGAGATAACGGCTGTACGGAATATATTGAATTTACAAGAAAAAAAAACCCAAAACATCTTTAAATTTAACAATTTACACAAAGTCCGAAAAGTTCATTTTTAATACCAACTTGAAAAAAAAGTTACTGACATTAAATGACTCCATACGTCAATGGCTTCTTTGTTTAAGTGAAGAAATCAATACATTTTCTTGTATTTCATGTTCATTTCACTGGTTTAATGAAGATCACGAGAGACATTAATTTTAGGAAATACATCTTAAACATATTAAGCACTAGGCCTCCTAAATCTTTTTTCCCTTTCCAAACAATAAATCGTGTTGCATGCTATTCATTGTAGCTTGAAGATTTACAATGCCCGTCTTTTTAAATGTCATTACGTAATATAAAACTACAATTTATATCGAAATTACTACTAAAATACTTTAATAACCCTTCTCTAGTATTCAGAAAACACTAAGATTTCATAAAACTTCACAGAAGTAAAGCTTCGATTTTTTTTTTATTTTAAAAAAATTCCTTGAAATAAACAGTAATTATTCTTGGAGCAGGTACGTAAGGACTAATGAAACAGAAACTATTACACAGTAAAATTTTCAACAAATGTTTTCCTTCGGTGTATAAAATTTCTTCGAAAAGAAAATTAAAATATTACTACGACCATCTTTAATAACATATTTAGTTGCCCTCTCCTGACCGACTGACTAAAAATTGTCCATCTAAAACCTTTTTAACAGTGTACTACTAGGAAACAATTATTTTTCAAAGCATTCATGAACATTGAAAAATAATTGCATTCATGAACATAAATTTTGAAAATTCAGCATTCAATTTGAAGCTATCTTGAAAAAAAATTCTACCCTCCCGATTTTTTCATCCCGACTCAGGAGAGGACTAGCAAACATTACTTTAAAATTGGCCTAACAATTAACAATATGTTTGCACCAGAAAGAATTAAAGCACTTCGACGAGTAAGGTGACTTGAATAGAATCTACATGTAGCTACCACAGAAATAATTCTGACGAAAACGTTTAATAATCTCCATTAAATTGAATTGAAACTACTCTTATGCTCGTTTTCCTAGAATATAAGGGAGAAGAGTATAGAGTATAGTACTAGAGTGTTTAATTTTTTAAGTTTATAAAGTCCACAAATCAGTTTATTGGAACTTATCATGAATAAAGTAATGTCGCCACTGTTAAAACGCAAAATGATAAAATGGCGACGGATAAAGGAATTGTTAATTTTGTTTTTGGTGTAGGTACACGTTCTGAGTTAATTCATCGAGCAAATCATATTTCCAGACGTTTCATCACGTCATGGTCTTCACTTCATGACAATAAAACCGATAATTATATATTTATTACATTTTGTGTTATTCTCGACGCAAAATGTCAAATTGTAGAATGTAATTATCCATTTTTTTCTGCAAAAGATGTTATTTTTAACTGGGATATAGAAACGCCTTCAATAAATTACATTTCTCAGTAATTGATCCCCATTTCAATTGTATCATTACGTTTTCCATCCTTCTGTTTCGCAGTAATTTTTCTTCAAAATGACAAAGAGGCTTCTTCGTACTCTTTTGTTGTTACAGTAAAATGAGTAAGATACTCTGGAGTTTTGGAAGTTTTCTTGCTTTATTCATTACATTTTTCTTGAATGCATTCATCTAAGACTAATCCACTTGGAGATTTATTTCTTAAGCAAATTGCCTGGAATAGTGCAGTGTCAAATTACATGTAATTTGTATTCCGTCATACGTGTATTTGGAGTTGAAGTCAAAAGCTTGTATTTCCTACATAATTATATACATCGACTATTGCTTTCAAACTTATTTTTAAATAAAGCACTGAGTAGATTTACATACAATATCTCAAACAAATTCTACAATTTGTTCGTGGTCTTTATCACCCTCCTACTATAGTTCTGATAGACACATGATTACCGTATCCAAATTTTACTTTATAATGAGGACCTGGAATAACTTATTATTAAAATGCCAAAATTAAGTGAACCCAGGCTCTGGGGCCATAAACTTGGACGACCTCACTTTTGATCTCAATCTCGCTTTAACAAAAGGAATATACAATGGAAAAGTGAGGCTGAGATCAAACGTGAGCTCGTTTTTTGGTCCCAGGAGGCCTGATCTGTCAACTGGCTTCATTTTCTCTTATGTCTTATGCCGATACGATATAACTCATGAGCTGGAAATAAAAGATACCACGACTCTGACACATCTGTATCATATGTGGATATTTTACTTGAAAAAAAAGATATTAATGGTGATCTGACAACCAAGCTTTATAATAACCGTGATAACTTTAACTTTTCAATCATCAATTAACTTCCTTTACTTAATATGTATCAATATATACCTTCATCACCTGCATTCAGAGTTTATATCTCTCAATTGATCCATACTAAAGAGCATGCTCTACATATGTACAATTTCTAAAACGAGGTAAATTATTGACAAACAAGTTAATGAAACAAGAATATCAGCAATATATGCAGTCTTGTCTAAAGTCATCATTTCGTAAGTTCTATGGCCGATGCAATGGCCTTGTTAGAAAATAGAATTGATCAAATGCTGGCTGACGGGTTTTTATACTAATTGTTGGGCCATTATTTACACACTGAATTGACGGATTTTTCCGTTATTTCCCGGTCATAACAAGGAGTACACAGCGGACGTGACCGATCGGCAGGGGATGCTCACTCCTCCATGGCGCCTTATCCCACCTCAGGTGTTTTGGAGGTCTGTGATTGCTCCGCTACTATTTCTATAGTTTCTTTTCGAGAACTAGAATACTCTTGGTTATCGCCAAATGTATCACAAGTGTTACGAATTCTGTGAAAAACTACGTCAGAAAGTTGGCCAAAATTTAAAAAAAGAAGACCCTGAAACTTTGTTAGAATGGATTAAAAGTATTAAAAGTATCAAATGATGTCAAAATTTCGCATTATCGTCAAATAAGCCATCTAGGGCATGTAAGGGAGTTATGAAAATCATCTGTCTTTAAATGTTCAATAATTCAGAAGTGAAAGAAGAATTTAGATAAATTTTGCAATCAGTATGTAATGGTTCTGGCTAAAAACCATATAACAATATTGCCCTTGTTTGTAAGGCTCATTACTTTAATTGTATTTTAGAGGAACTGAGATTAAATTCTGCAACTCGTTGATTGACTCATACTCTTGGCCCCCTTTCTAAGAAAGAAATTCTTCAAGTACATGTCAATTAATTTATTTTTCATAATTCCAACATTAAAATTGTTTTTGAATTACAATACCTAAAACTGATTCTAAACTTCATAAAAATCCCTGCAAGCAAAGATTTTCATAACTGGTTGCAGAAAATGTTCCACCAATTACATGTATTATAAGCCTCTTTCTTTACTTCTCACTAAAATATTACATGTAACAGCAGGGAAGGAGAAACTTTACAATAAAACTGTACAATGACATACTACTATTCAAGAAGTAATGTAAATCAGATGTGGATATTTAATAACTCTGAGTAACTTTTCTAAAAATTGACCTTATATACCAACACTGTATCCATCTAATCCCTACAATATTTATAACGTCCAATGGCCCTTTCACGAAATATTTTACGACCAAGACTAAAATTTCACTACTCTGTAATTTTTCATTTAGTAATATATTTTTCTAAATAATTTTTTTTTTTCAATTATATCTTAAGATATTGATAAAATGTGTTTAAAAAATAAACAGCAGTAGAAAGTTTTGTTAAAAGGGCCACAGGCTTTTTAAAGTCATAGGTAACTGGATTTCAATGAAAAAATGAACTCGTAAATTAACGTACCTTGTCATTAGTCTTTTTGCAAATTTAAAAACATTCTATTTGTACACATAAGTACGCTGTAATTGATATTTAAAAGATAAACGAGTTTGTGATTAACAATGTCTATGCTGTTTATGGAGATCAGGTCTTCCAACATTCAGGTACCAAATGAATCCCATTATTTTGAAGACCAATTTTGTATTCATATGAAGCAGAATTAATTCCAAAGTTTCAAAAGAAATAGACGAAAACACTTGCCCTCAACTCGATATTTAGATATATAGACGATTATCATCAATAAACAATAGCCACTCCCATTCATTTATCCATTCCATATACATGTACATGTATATGTATCGAAGTGAACTTGGAATAAAAGTAAACACAAATACTGATGCATCCGGTTTTGAATATTTTATTGTTTTATGATAAATCTGAGGGACTTTTGTAGCAATATACTGTAAATCAACTTTAATTTACATTGAACTTGTATAAATCATCGCGAAGTACTTATTTTGTTTTGTATTTGAAAAGAAATTAGTAATACCTTCGTCGAAAAAATTAATCGTGGGAGATTTATATCAAAATAAATCATCGAAAAAAATGGAGGCGAATAATACTTCGTTAACAGTACTCTTATCACTGAGTATAGGGTTTATATATCACAGATGAGTTGCGTAGATGCGCAAGAGCATGCTATATGTGAAAAACAATTTCTTAAACGAAACAAGATATTGACAAACAATTTGATGAACCAAGGAAATCAAAGGTCTCGTTTGAAGTAATAATTTTGCAAGTTCTATGGTCGATAAAATGACTTTTATCAGTAAACCAAATACTGATTTTTTTTTCATACCAATCGTTTGGTCATAGTTCACACACTGAGTTGCCCACAAATTTTTCCGTATGGCCCAATCATTACAAGGTAACCAATTAGTTTGATCTGCTTCTTATTTTTATTGTTTTAATGGACGTTTGTTTGAACTTGAGCACTGTTTATCTCCATAACATCAAAACGTACAATTTTCTTTTTTTTTAACACAACCAATCCTTACGATGAATTAAATCGAAGCTTCTCAAAAACATAGACACCTGGCACGTTAATAAAAATGGATTTCGGAATTTTTCTTTCCATGTAACTGGTCATTAATCAATTACAAACGTTCTATTTTGAATCTTTCAACAAACTATTGGAATTATAATGGACACTAATTATGCTCTTTTAATTGGTGACCATTCTTATATTCCCATGAAGTAAAATCGATTTTAAAAAATCCACATAAGAATTAAAAGAAACTTTTTTTTTTTACATTCAGATGTATCCGCTACGTTTAGTTTAATCCATTCATAGGAAGACTCGTTATCAATCAATTGTAAATGCACGATAGCCGACTTAAAACAAGATGGTTGAAATCCCAGTTCTATATTCAAAAGCTTAGTTGAAGTGCTAATCATCATTTTAAATAAGCTACTGATTGAAAAATAGATGTTTAGGGGGATTTCAACAACTGTGTTGACCAGACAGTCAACAGTTTGGTATGATTGAACTTGTTAGCAAATAAGACACAATGACCTTGTTAGCAAGTATCATTGGGTCCTTTTTTTGTCTAATATGTACGTAATGGTTTCCGGCCCATTACTCTAGACAACATAAATTCCTTGGCTTTTCATTAAGATGCTACAAATCGTATGCATTTTCTATTTTAACAGTTACTTAGTTTGTGATAATGAGATTGAAAACTCCAGTTTTTATTTTAAAATTTCTTATGTTTCTGGGAATATCACAGTTTTCTTTTTGGCAGGCAATCTAAGCAGTGCTTGCCCAGAATTTTTTTTTGCAAAACCTTTGGACGTTGAAGAAATCTGGTTAATGTTCATAAAAAAGATAGTGTAAGGGACTTCAGAAAAGAGTTACATAATGATTTGAAAGAAAAAAAAACTTAAAAACGTAATACAACGTAATTTTATCCATCGTTTTCATCAGCTTTGGGGGTAATTGTAAATATTGCATTATATAATATTGAACAGTCAAGGCATAAAAGTGCTGATGTGATTTTATCTGAATTCAATATCTCGTATTTTAAAATTCAATTCATTTCAAACATTTAAAAATTTGCTATTTACTATTTTGTGATCGACATATTTTATATGATATTACGTGTTCCTGAATCTATTATCTCTTTAATTCTATATAATAGAAGAAGGAAAATTAAAGCTCCGAACGCTATGTAAGATGAAATCCTATAATGATCAGCCTGATGATATATATGCATTTTTACTCTCTCGAGTATTGATATAACAGTATAAAACAGAGCGTGTATCTGAAGATTAAGTTGCCAGAGATTGTAATATCCGTTTTTGGAAGAAACAATGAATCAGTCGTCATCTTCAACCGCCAACGAAACAAATGTCCCGTGGAATAAAATCGTTCTTGGTGTGTTCCTGTATTTTATTGTTCTTGTTACTATTTTTGGTAACATCCTAGTACTGGTCGCCGTTAAAAGTAACAAACGTCTTCAGACGGTGTTTAATTTTTACGTAGTGAATTTAGCTTTGACAGACGTTTTAGTAGCGGTTACGGCAATGAGTTTCTACACCTTGGACAATATTCTTGGTTATTGGCCATTTGGAAGGATAATGTGTGGTGTTTGGATATTTTTTGATTATGGAATGACGTTCGCGTCCGTTTTCACGCTTTGTATTATCTCTATTGACCGATTCTGGGCGGTAAATTGGCCGATACATTACAAATCCCATCATAATAAAAAGAAAGCCCTTGGGATGATATGTGGCGTATGGTAAGTATCTAATTAGAAGTATTTTATTTGATGCTTTACATTGACGCGCAGTACTAGCAGTGATTATAAATATCCCATAAATTATAAAACAGAACATTTTAATTTCCGTAGCAAATTTCTTATCCTTTGTATACATGTAACGTTGTATTTGTTGACAAGGGCATTGTATCGACCATAGATTTCATGAATTAATTATTTCTACTTACGAAGGATTTTTATAAATTCTGCAATTCGTATGAAACATCATCATTCCATTCTTTCAGAGGACTTGTTTTAAGCATGCCCCAGAGTCTTGATTTATATTTTAATACCAGAGAGATTCATACAGAACAAATCAGATTGAGCTGCTAATGAGTCGATGATTTTTCCTGATATATATCTATCATTACAAACTTCTGACGGGTTAACAAATCTTATCTGACAAAACAAATTGTTAATTATATGAAAGCACACCATTTTGAACTTAATAACGGGTAAAAACAAACGAAAACAAGACAGTGTTTACAGTGTATTTTTTAAAAAAAATAAAACGTTAAGAATATCTTTATGCATAAAACAAATAATTCTATTTCAAATAATAAAAAAAAAAATTTAAAATGAAGTGTACATAGTTCGGTGTTAGGCTGTAATATTATTGATAATAATATGTTTTATGCATACATATGTAATTTTCCATTTCTGTGGTTAGAAAAAGTATATTTTTTGTATATCTCAGGTTTCAGAGATAGACGTTAGGTAATGCATTTAGGTTTTGGGGCTTTGCGTTGATTAGTCGTTAGCTAACGTCAGAGATATACGTGATTGTTATCGCTGGTGGATGCTGCAAGTGTTTGTCACCGCCACCCCGTACAACCGTCCCTTAGGTTAAAAATGTATTTTGATAATTTCTTTTGTCTCGTGGCCTATTGTTTGTTGCCACCTTATTTTAAAATGATATATTTGTGTTTTTTAGTATTGTCGTGATGTTATTTTAAGTTTTGGGAGATCCATAACAAGGTGTAGATAAAAATTGTCGAAAGTCATAGGATCTCCCAAATTTCACATGTTTCATTTGTGTCATTAATAAATGACATATTTGAAAAACAATTACTGAAATATAACAGAGAAACTTGGTTTTAAATTTGCACTATCATCATATGGAAGGCATAAATCATTTTCCCTCCCTATTCTTTTAATGAATGAAAAAGAAAATTACAATAGAATGATACAATTAAAATAATATCCGTATTTTACAAGGAAATAATGGAATTAAATCTGAATCCATTCTCTTGCGAGAGCCACATAACATTATTTGTTGAAGTAAAAAAAAAAAAACGAATATCTTTGAGCACCACAATACATGAATTCTGCATGTCTCTATAGCAAACATTCAAACGACAACACATAGAGAAGTTATAAAGGTATCTGTTATGAAATTTACTTTTTATTGATGCAATTATATTTGTAACATTTCTTTTAACATGAATGGAAAACCTCATAGAGTTATGAATCAAAGACCTTTAAATTCCATTTGAAGTGTTTGATAGTTTTATTATTTCAGAAAAAATCGCTCCGCAATCAAGGTAAAATATCCAAAACCAAATAACTTAGCTTAATTCTGATGTCTGTGTTCATCAAAGTATTTCTCTTCAAAAAACAATCATCATTAATTATCAGGAAGCGTCCATTACAGTGTTCTACTAATTACAATTGCAGAATGACATAACTGTTTACTTGTCCTTTTAAAAAACCAAACAGTTAATTTTTTTCCACGTTGAAAATGATTTAGGTCAGATTCTTTGCTGGGAATAACTTTAAGTGGTTATGCTTTAAATGGAAAGCATAATTATGTAAAATGATCAATTCATTATGTTAAAAAAAAATCAGTCAAAATGTTTTCATACAAAATCTTAAATCTTTAAAAAACAATATCATTTAAGTATTTTTACATTTCAAGACCTTATATATTTGATTTATTATAATTCATATACAGCAATATTGGAAATTAAATATTTTTTCGCTTTAAAATACAAATTAACTATTCCTTAAAATGCTGTCTTAGAACATTTGTTGATTTACATTGCTATGTTTTGGACTTTTCCAAGAGTTACAACCTAAAAAAAATCTGTTCTTTCTATGACTTTTTCGATCGCACAGATATAGCTAGATAGCTGGGATGCATGACGATTAATAACGTCTACAGAAACTTTACATTTTGACATGCCTGCTGAAATAGAAAAGCTTCCCGGTAGATTTGTATTATAAAGTTTTTGTCAGTAACACGAGTAGTATTCAAACACACATATTTGATTTAAAAGTTCGTGTGATTCGAATGTTATTTTCGATCATGGAATCTTCGATGCTTAAATTCTTTAGAATTGGACGATTAAATTCTATATATTATCATATCTACTTTTTCGAGATAAAATAGGAAATTTAAGTGTTTCTAATGAACTCCATATTAACACACTCTACAAACTTAAGTAAACAGAAATCTGCGTGTTTCTTGTTAAAATTTACAGGCATATATTGATTTAAAGTGAAGTAATTCTGAGCTCTTTACAGACTATGTTGCATTTCATGTAAATGAGTATTGATTTAGTACAATTATACCAAAAATTCATTTCTTATTCAAGACGAATTTTAAACCACACAGTGATTTTTATTTATCAAGAATTTAATTCAGGGATGCTTTTTGAGTTTCCTTGATACAATATTTATACATTTATACATATCACAAGATTTTACCAAAATTAACTGCTTAAAAACTTATGTATTCAAATGAAGCAGAATTTGTGCAAAATATTATGCGTGAAAAAAAGAAAACACTTGTTGTGGCCTCCAACTCTACATTTAGATAAATTTACCCGGTATATCGGCGACATATTTTCTTATGTCGATACCATATATCCTGGTGAGCTTGAGATAAAAGATACCACAGAATCTGAGACATTTTCATATTTTGATATTTTACTTGAAAAAAACGTTAATGGTAATCTAATTATCAAGCTCTATCATAAACGTGATCCATTTCACACTACAATCTTCAACTTCCCTTACTTACATGTATGCAGCATGACCTTCATGACCTGCCAAAAGAGTTTATATACGATTCGATACGTAGGTGCATGCCATACGTATGTCCAATTTCTAAAACGAGGTAGATTATAGACAAACAAGTTGATGAAAGAAGAATTTCAGCAGTCTCGTTTAAATTCATCATTTCGTAAGTTCAATGGTCGATACAATGACATTGACAGCAATTACAATTAATCATTGAGTCAAATGCTGACTGACGTTTTTCATATTAATTGTTGGTCCATTATTTACACCTTGTAATGACAACGGACTTTTCCCATTATTTCTCGATCATGACAGGGAATACACGGCGGGTGTGACCGGTCGGCAGGGTATACTCGCTCCTTCATGGCACCTAACCCACCTCTGATGTTTCGGAGGTCCATGTTTGCTCTGTCCCTGTTTTGAATTGTTTATGAGTTTTTGAACTTTAAAACTGTTTGTTATCTCCACACATCTCACTGTATTATCATTATTTTTAAAATTTCTTTTTTCTAATTGCTTTTGATTGTCATATTTTCGTTTATTATTTTATTTAACGCAATTGTAGAAAAAGCATAACATTTTACAGATTTGTTTTTTTTTTTTAAATTTATATTTCTTACGTTATGTTAACAGGTTGTTTACATTGGTGTTATGGTTACCCCCGTGTGTACTGGACCGTGTACAGAATTATATTGCAGACGACACCTGTATTTGGGACCCGTCATTGAACCAAGAAATGGTTATCGTTATAGGAGTTGTCGGTCACCATGGTTCGTTCTTCCTGCTGTTCGGGTGTTATCTCCGGGTTCTTTTTGTAGTACGACGGCAAAGGAAAATTATTTCGGCGGAAATCACTCCAGACTTATCGAATAATTCAATTCTGAGTCGTCGAAATCAAGTTTCAAATTGTACAGTCAGTGAAACAGATGACATACCTTCTGTGTCGGTAATCTGCAACAAAAAGGACAATAATCATCTTCAAATTCCCAATTTCTACAAGGCAAACTCAACAAATTCAGAATCTAGAAGCAGTAACAATAACCATCGAAGAGCTGAAAATCAAATCAAAGAAACAAGAACAGGCTCTAAAGCCATAAAAGATTCCAAAGTTTTTATAACCTTGACCTACATCATTGTTGGATACATCATTTGCTGGGTACCATTTCATGTTGTCTATGACATCACAGCAATTCGCCCAGATTTAGTGTCGGAAACAATGTATTCTATAACATTCTGGTTGACCTACATAAATTCTACATTGAATCCATTTCTCTACAATTTCGGAAGTCCAGAATTCCGATCAGCCTTTCGTGAAATACTACGTGGAAAACATATGTAATTCAAATCCTACCAAAAATGAAATTACAAATAATACTGTTATATTTAGAATTTTTGTATTAGCTTTCAATTTTGTTGAAGAGAAACAAGTAAGAATCTTAACTGAGCTTTGCAAAAATGTCCACTTTTCTTAAAACTCAAATTTAACATTCATTAAAATTGTATCCGTTTGCACGTTATTATTTTCTTATGATTTATAAAAATATGCATCTTAAATACCTTTTCTTAGCTAGAGGAAGATAATTTTGGACTGAATGTGATCTAATTATTTTCAGATCCAGAAATACATTTTATTAAATAAAAAAAGTTAATGAAGTGTACTAGTCATTTGGATTTAGGAAATCCTATCCACTCAATTTGTACATTATCATTTTCTTCATAAAAAAAAAACAAAACAACTTAAATACATTTTCATAACTAAAAGAAGATACTGAGTAATGTGGGACTAAATGTGATTTAATTATTTTCAATTCCAGGAATATATTTTTTATTCAAAAAGAAATCAAAAGATTATGAAGAGTACTAGTCATGTGGTTTTCTGTCCGATGCAATAAAACTTACCGTACACCATATAAAACATAAAAAAGTATATATTTTTGTAGTATTTTTTGAATTTTTTTTCACCGATTAGTGGCCAGACATGTTGATATACTTTACATGTGCATGGTGTCGAATCAAAGAGTTGGTTATCAGACCTTTTTTCCTCTTTATCGGTGATTCATTCTCTAAATCTTTCGTTAGAATTACGAGAGAACAAAATGTACTTGGAAAAATTCCAGTTTAAAAACAGTAGGGGATGATCACTCTTCCATGGCACCTGATCCCGCCTCTGATGTTTTGAGATCCATGATTTCTCCGCTCCTATTTTGTAATGTTTGATAGATTTTTAAGCTCGAATACTGTTCGATATCTCCACATATTTCATCTCTGAATTCAAAGAACAAAGTATATTTTGTTTTGTTACGATAAAAAAATTGCTTAGTATGACTTCAATGATTTCTTTTAAACTTAATATTAAAAATGATTATAAAAACGATCAGTTAAGTAAACATATTAGTTCTATAATTAATTGAGATATTTATATAATATTGATTTTTGATGTTAATTTCAATATACAGCGGACTTAATTAGTTGTACATGAAAAGATAAAAAAAACCCTGAAAATCTAAAGTAAAAAGACTTAAATAGCAATGTGCATGTATTACCGAGGAAAATACAATGGCCGGTGCATCATTTATATTGGACCTATCATCAGAAGTCATAAAAGCTAACCAACACGTGTCTAATTAATCAGTTTTCATTTTTATAATGTCTAAAACAAATAAAGGTTATCGGAGAACTTAAAGCTGTAAAATCACTGTTTTTCATAGACATCATGATGAAAAACATTAATTAATTGCATTTACTAAAGGCACATTTAGACGATGACTAATTATGTGCTGTTTCATCTGTGGTAAATTCTAATAAAAGGTAATTTCCATCACTATCACCCTTCTGCTTAGAAACAGAAAAATCAAATAGATATTACTACTGTGTTGTGTTTATGGACCAAACAATGATAACTCAGCTTTCAATTCTAAACTTCAAGAATATATTGAAGATTTTCAATCTGAGAATATTGTAATATGTGGTGATTTTAATCTAGTATTAAAACCTGAATTAGACTGTTTTAATTATAAAAACGTGAATAACCCAAATGCAAGACAAAAGATTATCGAACTCATTGAAGATAATAACTATATAGATGTATATAGAGAATTTCATCCAGATACCTTAAGATATACTTGGAGAAAGAAATCTCCATTGAAACAAAGTAGATTGGATTTCTCTCTTATATCAGGAAACTTATTATCTAGTGTCAGATCAAGCTCCATAGAACCTAGTTATAGGTCTGACCATTCAATGATTAATCTAAATTTAATTTTTAATGACTTCAAAAAAGGTAAAGGGTTATGGAAGTTCAACAATTCCCTCTTGAGACTCTCCTTATGGAAATTAGGGGTAAATATATTTCTTATTCATCCTTTAAAAAAATCTAGAATAAAAAAAGAGGAAAATCACTTAGAAGAAATCCAAAATCTTGTGAGGTGTGAACCAACTGCATTAGATGTAGATGCACTTGATAGTAAAAAGAAAGAATTAGAAAATATAAGAAAACAAAAAATGGCTGGTGTCTATATTCGGTCTAGAGCAAGATGGGTGGAAGAAGGTGAAAAACCAACACAATATTTTTGTAGTTTAGAATCCAGAAATTTCCTCAATAAAATTATCCGAAGAGTAGAATTGGATAACGGAGACATTTTTTATAATCAGTTTGATATTTTAAAAGAAACAAAACATTTTTATCAAAAGTTATATCGAAACATTGATGACTCTATACAAAATGTTAATTTGGAGGAGGAGGTTAAATATATAGACATTGTTAAACTCTCAGAGGCAGAATCCAAATCTATAGAGGGTCATATCACATTAGAAGAAGCAGGGGAAACATTGTATAAAATAAAGTCTAATAAATCACCAGGCTCAGATGGTTTCACATCAGAATTTTTAAAAATGTTTTGGAAACTTCTTGGTTTATGAAATTGCATCTGGTATAATTGCAAATAGAATTAAAAAAACATTTAGACAAAATAATTCATTCTGATCAAACAGCTTTTATAAAAGGTAGAAATATATCAGAAAATATTCGAACCATCTATGATATTATGCAATATACAGAAGAGGAAAATATTCCAGGGCTGCTTCTTCTAATTGACTTTGAGGAGACTTTCGATTCAATATCCTGGTCAATCATCCAAAAGTCACTCCAATTTTTTTAATTTCAATTGGTAACTCTATTCAGAAGTGGGTAAAATTATTTTACACAAATATTTCAGCAGCAGTTAATCAAGGTGGACATATTTCTGAGACCTTCTTCTTACTTGGTGTCGCCAAGGTGATCCACTATCCCCCTATTTATTTTTGATTTGTGCTGAAATATTAGCAATTTTAATAAGGAATAATAAAAATATAAAAGGAATCGAGGTATCAGATAAAGAATATAAGATAACTACCTGGTATGTTAGCAGACGATACATCCCTTATATTGGATGGTAGTGCACAGTCTCTACAATTAAGTTTAAAAACTTTGAAGTATTTTGCTAAAATATCAGGACTTCACATCAATTACAGTAAAACACAAGTCATATGGATTGGAAGTATGAAACATAGCAATCACATCTTGGATGTAGGTGAAGATTTAGAATGGGGAAAAAACACACTTTTAGATTACTTGTTATTGATTTTGATGTTGATTTACAGAAAATTGTTGATTTAAACTTTAAACAAAAGTTTGAAAAAAATTCAAACAACTATGATAAACTGGAATCGCAGAAATCTCACCCCACTAGGGCGTTTAACAGTGTTGAAAATCCTTCTACTACCACAATTAAACCACTTTTTTGCTTCACTTCCAAATCCTTTTAAAGCACAGTTAAAGGAATTAGAAAATACTTTTTTTACTTTTGTTATGGGAAAAATAACTACAGAGTGAAAACATTAATATACATCAAAAATTACAAAGACTGTGGTATAAAAATGGTTAGCATCAAGGAATTTATTATGTCTTTAAAACTAATCTGGGTGAAGAAAATTATGATGCAAAAGAGCAATATACATTCACTTTTAGACTTAGAGGTGAAAAAATTAACATTATGTGGTACAGAATATGTAAAAGGAAAACTAAAACTTATTAAAAATTTGTTTTGGAAAGATGTGTTGGAATCATGGGCTTATTTTTCAGAAAAACTCAGATTCAACATATAATGTAGCTATGGAACCAATTTTTTACAACACTAATTTCATAATAGATAGAAAACCTATTTTTTATAGAAAATGGTTTGAGAATAATATTTATTGTGTTAATGATTTATTGAACAAAGATGGCTCCTGTATGAACTTGATTGCTTTTAATAAAACATATGATATGAAAGTTCATTTTCTTGAATATAATGCAGTCTTGGCAGTTGTAAGAGAGTGGATAAAAAAAAATAAAGAAGCCCTTATCAAAGTTTAGATACCTAGATATATTATCTCAAGAACTGTTTAGATAATGAGATGTGCCTACAATACTCTCTCTTTGAATGGGTTGATGTCCTTTATAAAAATATTATATGACACTAATAAAATAATAGCAAAGAAAAACAATGAACAAGAAAAATTTGATGAGGACTGGAAGTATTGGATGAATTTATTCTCTCTCTCATTTTTCCTTTTGTAAAACCATTGAAAAACAATAAATCAAAAAAAAAAAAAAATATGTGCTGTTTTTCAATTTTTAATATGCGTGCAAATCTTTTGGTGATTGTTTTATTTATATATTTATTTTCATTGTGAAGTTAAAATTATTGCATGATTTGTCGAATAATCATTTTAAATCAACAAAGAAAATTAATAAATGACACTTTTTCCAAACCCTTTGATTGTTAACAAACTCAGTTAATTCGTTACGCAAGAGCATGCTCTAAATATGAACAATTTCTAAAACGAGGTAAATCATTGACAAACAAGTCCATGAACAAAAATATCAGAGTCTCGTTTCAAGTCATCATTTCGTAAGTTCTATGGTCGATACAATGACTGTCAGCAAATACAGTTCATCATAGAGTCAAATGCTGACTGACGTTTTTCATACTAATTGTAATTCCATTGCTTATACACTGAACAGTCTACGAATTTTCCCGTTATTTTCCGATCATGACAGGGAACACACGGTGGATATGACCGGTCAGCAGGGTATGCTCACTCCTTAATGGCCTTTGATCCAATCTCTGATGTTTCGGAGGTCCGTGTTTGCTCTACTCCTATTTTGTATTGTTTTATGGACTTTTGATTTTGAATACTGTTCGTTATCGCCTTATGTTTCATTCCTTTTAAAATTACTTAGCACAAAAATGACAGAACCATTTTAAGAAAATGGTATATGATGCCAATGAAAAAAAGATTTACAATGACCTTTACCTGGTATTTTTCTTTGAAT